AGAACTTATCTCTTAATTAAAAAAAAAAAAAAAGAATGGGAAATCAGAGTGTGCACCTGTAGTCCTATCTACTCAGGAAGCTGAGGAGGATCGCTTGAGCTGAGGAGTTCAAATTCAGCCTGGACAACATAGTAAGATCCTGTTTCTTTAAAAAAAAAAGAATGGGAAACCATTTTGGAGGTAAAACCTATACATAAAAGAAATAAAGTATTTTAGATTGTTGATACCTGATACATACTCCACTCAGACAAGACACACATTCTGTCTTCTAAATGCCTGGCTGCTCTAACATTTAGAAAAAACCCAGGGTTTTACTAGGAAATGAAAAAAATATTGCAGCTGTATTAGCAGATAAAGAAAGAGCTGTACATCTGCTAATACGACACAATACCTTACAAATTCAGACGCTGGAACATGCTAGAAGATTGTGTATACACATCGGCACATATACAATCTAAAAAAAAAACAAGTAAATACAATAAAAGTTAAAAATAAAACACCCCATAACACAGCTCTTCTAGCCCCACCCTTCCTATTTCCTCATTTTATTTTGAAGTCTAAGCAACCAGACCTCCTCTTTCAGCTCCCCATGAAGGCAATGGGACTTTGGGGACTGAACTGTCTGTTCTTGAGACTGAGCTAAGGAACTAAGAAATGCACACTGGCTTTCTGGTTTGCACACCATTTAGCCACATCCTCAACCTCAAACCTCAAAAGAGTTTGTCAAAGGTCAGGGACAGGTCACATTCCAATCTAGGTCTTGACTTTTCTCTCTAAGACAAACCATTACCTGTGTGCCGAGTTTTTCTTGGATGCTCTGGGAAGGTGGGCAGGGAAGTGTCTCATCTTGCAGACTCTTTTTTTCCCAGTTGTCTCCAGTCATATGGAGGCCAGCACGTCCCCTCTGTCCTAAGCCTGGAGCACCAATTTATCCGAGCATGCAAAATCACTTAACTTGCCCTTTGACCAAGGTCATGAAGAACACTCAGCCAGGTAAGAGTGACTTCAGGGCCTGTGGTCAGTTATCCTAAGGGCCTCTCTCACTCCCAGGTCTTTTCCTTCATAACACAGTCACCACTTTATACACAATACAATGCCTAAGGCACTCCAATCACTGATTATGTGTTTGTGGAACAAATGAATGAACAAGAAATGCACATCATTCATCAAAAAGTTAAAAAAGAAGGGGTTCTGTAGGTAAATAACACTGGCTCCCCTTGGAGAAGTTGCTGTTTCTCAGCTTTCTTTTTTCTAAAATAGGGTGAGGACATGATAATCTTCAAGTGCTAAGTCAATTCTTAGTAGGCTGGTTCAGCTGGCATGGCTGGTTCAAGAGGCACAGTGCCAAAAAAAACAAAAGGCCCAGATTTGATTTCCTTAAGAACTCATCAAATTCACATTCTATTACCCACCCTCCACACACTCAAACTCTGGCAAGCTGTTTTGCAAATGGATGCTTTCTGAAAGGCGAGACCAGCTAAGGGAATGTGTGGCTGGGCAAGGCCTCTCTTTTCTTACTAGAAAAACAACCAATCTACCCTAGCTCCTGAGCAGAACATTGAAGAAAGGACAGCACATATCCACAAAACAACATGAAAAGGCTCATGTTCTGGGCTTGAGTGTCTAGTCGGAGGAAACTCTATCTCTTTTCATTCATCTGAAAACCGAATCATCTGTCTGGAAAAGTCAACAGCTTTGGTTTCCTGCTTATCAAAAATGCAAGAGACTCCATGAAGTTTCTCATTTCAGAGATCTCATCGCCCTCCCGGAAAGGACGTGGAGAGCATCCGATGGCACTCTGGGTATTTAGAACTCAACCATTCTTGACATAAAGGTTAACATTCTCTTCTGCCAAGAATGGAGAAGGTGTGAGGAGGCAGAAGAGTAGTGGCTTCCCTTTTCCCCTTTTGACCAAGCTGAGGACGCAAAAGGGTAAAGTAAACTACAGCATAACCACAGCAACCTCTGTGGGGTCCATGAGGAAGTACTCTGTTCGATTTTTCCTGGAGGAAATTTTTATTTATTTTTTTGGAGTATCACTCTGTTGCCCAGGCTGGAGTGCAGTGGTACAATCAAGGCTCACTATAGCCTCAATCTGCTGGGCTCAGGCGATCCTTCTGTCTCAGTCTCCCGAGTAGCTGAGATTATAGGCATGTGCCACCACACCTGGCTATTTTTTTTTTTTTTTTTTTTTGTAGAGGTGAGGTCTCGCCACATTGCCCAGACTGGATTCAAGCAATACTCTCACCTTGGCCTCTCTAAATGCTGGGAGCCACTGGCCTAGTCTGCATTTGCTGAGTTTTAAGGTCAGGGATCCTTAAAGTCTTTTCCTTCCTCCCAGTGACACAATTCCCTGGGAGAAATGGGCTCCGACAATGCATTGGGAAATTACCTTTCTGACAAAGCAATCTAGAAAGGAGTATTTATTGAGGGGGAGAGAAAAAGATATGGAAAGAAAATTGGAATGATTTAGGCAGTAACTTTCTTCTCCTTTTGCCACTTTTCCCACTACAGGACCAGTCTACCATTCACTTCTAACTTGGCAGTAATTCACAGAGGAAAGGAAGAGGAGAAACATAAGAAGAGCAAAAGTTAAATTTAGATGCCCAGAGGACTACTGAGTTATGAAAAAATCAGTGGGAGGAATCAGGTTCCCTAGAAATTATGAAATGGTATTCTACCTAATTCCTTACTTCCACCTCCAAATCAAAGGCTGGTCACATAAGGAATGATCAGGGAAAACAAACAAGGATTTTTTTTTTTTGAGTTGGAGTCTCACTCTGTCACCCAAACTGGAGTGCAGTGGCATGCTCCCGGCCACCGTAGCCCCGACCTGCTGGGCTCCGGGGATCCTTCCGCCTCAGCCTTCCAAGTAGCTGGAACTACAGGTGTGCGTTACCATGCCCGGCTAATTTTTTGATTTATTGTAGAGATGAGGTCTGGCCAAGTTGCCCAGGCGGGTCTTGAAGTCGCGGGCTCAGGCAATCCACTCACCTCAGCCTCCCAAAGCACGGGATTACAGGCTGAGCCACCGAGCCTGGCTAGGGATTTTTAAAAACAAAACTATCAAGCATGGGAAAATAAGGCACAGATTCTACAAGCTGTCAGAGGCATTTCTGCCTGGCCTCTGACACAGTCGTTACTTTTTTTCTTTTCGGCTGGGTTTCCAAAAGGATTAGGATCCTCAGAGGTGCTGGCAATAATAGGAATGTATTTTAAAATGAGTCCCCTGAACTGGCTCCCAGCTCCTAAGAGAATCTGACACATTTTCATCTAATGAGCTTTTCAAGCCTAATATACGACTCCCAGGACTGTTCCACAAGGGCATAGATCCTCTTATGTCTTCCTGAAGAAAAGAGCAGCCAGCTCTGTTGCTCCTTCCAAGTGAATCTGCACATTACACTGATAGGCTTTTTAGCAGGAAAAAATGTGAAATG